TAGTATAGTATATCATATGTTTAACTGTCTTCAACATATGTCAATTGGAAACTAAGCAGATTGTCAATAAAAAAAAAACATGATCGCTACGTAGAGTGGATTAAAAGCTATGATCTCTCACTTGCTAAAGCCAGTGGCCCCAGACCATAAGGACCCCTTGATATTCATCAGCATTTTTCATTTTGCCCCAAATTAGCAGAATGGGGCCTTTTTAATGAGCAGAGTATTTAAAAAGACATCAGAATGTGTCTTAAAAATGTCAGAGCGGGGGTTTGTCTCATTCCCCATTGAGCTCTCTACCCAGCCAGCCCCATGGTAGTGGGACCCTAAGAAGTCTTAGCCAAGGGCCCCAGGCCTCTTTGTTAGCCACTGGCTTTGTAGTGTTGCCTTCACCATGGAATTGACAAGCGACAATTATCTGTGCAGTGTGCCCCCGGCTCAACGTCAAAGCATCAGAGTGACATGATTCATGGAGTACAGTAATTTTAATTTGTTTTTCTTCTTTTTGCCAAGGTAAAAGAACTCTTAAAGGAAGTAATTCTAAAAGGCAAGAGGAAGAAGCAATTGGATGATTTTCTTCATTCTTTGAATCAAAAGCTGTTGAAATTGAAGGATGTGAAGATAAAAGATGTAAGAATCTATGATTTCAAAAGTATTATCATTATGACTTATAATATCATTATATTCATTTGATCATTATGAATATTAATATTTTTATGAGTATTAGTTTATTTAACATTTTAATATCATTTTTAATTTTAATGTACAGTATTACCTATATATTTTATTATTTGTTGATTGTTAATATAAGAAAAATAAAAATCTACTTTGTTTTTTGAAGCAGTAAAATAACATAAGTTCCATTGTCTTCTTAAGCTATCTTATCATTCTTTTTGTCCTTATCACCATTGTTGCTGTTGTTATTTTTTTTATTTATATTTATTATTTTAATTTTTTAAAATTATTATTTAATATATATTAATTGTTTTGGAAAGATCTGGATACTATTTTGTCGTAAAATTTATTTAAAATTATATAATTTATGTTCTATTTTAACTGTTATGTGTTAGTTTATAAACGTCCATTCTGATGTATATTTTATTGATAATTTGTGTAATTTACCAGGGACAACTAAACACCTTTTTGCTATCTGTCTCATTAATCAAACTTTGTAGGCAACAGAAACGTCATGGTTACCGAGCAACATAAGATTACCAGTGATGTTTAAGAAGAGTCAGGTGAAAGGTAAACTTGTGCTCAGCAAGCCATCTTCTATCAAAGTGGTTGGTAGTTACCTGCTTGGAGCTACAATCAAGCCAATGCTTAATGTGGATGTTGCTGTCACCTGCCCAGAGGTGGGTTATTCCATCATTGTTATAGGGGATTTTATCTTTTTTTGTTCATTGAAGTTCTTGTCAGAGAGATTTTTTTTTAACACTATAAACTTTTATTGTTTATGATTATCATCATTATCATCCTCATCATCATCATCATCATCAACAAATCATTTATTCAGAAACCACTACGTATGAATCTTCATAAATATCATCAAAATAGATTGTGTTTCTTTATGAAAACACAAGAATATATTCAGCATACACAGATTTTGTTGCATAATTGGTTGTGTAGTATAGAATCTATTCAAATAAAATCAATCAATCAACAAGGATTTATATAGCGCCATTATACAATGTCAGAATGCAATGTTCAGTGGCGATATCATAATTCAAAGTGATTATCAGAAACTCCACCAACTACTGTGCAATTAAAAAAAGAAAATCTTAATGAACAAGCACAAACTACTTTAGTTTATTGTGTTTGCTTATGTTTTTGAGAAATGATATACAAATATACTTTATGTATACCTAATATATTTTACTGAATAAAGCAATAAATCTTAGAAATAAATTATCTGTATTAAAACATAGACACTAAAAAGTGTATTGAATGGTTTGAATTTGATTACTGTGTTTGTGTTTATGCAGGGGTTCATTCAGCCAAAAGATCACCTAAACTTTCAGTACCATCACAAAAGGGCAATCTACCTCGCATACATTGCTGCGAAGCTACACCAGTGGCCGGAAATTGACCAATTGAAATTCTCATCTGATCATCACATGACACCGGTTCTGAAAATGACGCCTAAAGGTTTGTTTGTTTTATTTTAGAATTTCTTGCTGTTAAATTAAATATAAGCATTTGATTACGTATCTTTGTAATACTTGTGTTCTAATCATTGTATATTATATGGTTTTATGAGGTCTTTTACTGTATCATTACAAGCTTCATTTCCCTTCTATCATTTGAGGAACACTCAGTAAATACGATGTAGTGGAAATGTAGCTTGGTGGTTAAGATGCTTGCCTTCCAATCCCAGGGTCCTTGGTTCAAATCCTTTGTCAGCGCAGGATTATTTTTCTCCACTTCCTAAACCTATAATTAGAATTCGCTGATAAAGCGTTGTTATTTCATCCATTTAAGAGGGCCCCTGAATATATGCTGACCGACAGGTAGGATACGCTGCAAAGATTTCCCTCCATAAAATGGTTTAATTTTTTTTTAAATATAATAAAAAAGAAATAGTATATATTTAATATTGTATATTCAAATATTGCACTTGTACACATGCATAAACTATCAATTTAGGGAGCTAACTTCAATGGTGCGAAATGCATGTTATCAACTTAATAGTGGTATTTAATTATACAGTGTAAGTTATGTAACTTATTTTACAGGAAAGATTGGTAATTCTGTTATAATCAACATTAGACCATGCCTCGAAGAGGGAGTCTTCGATGCAGCTACCTTACAACCTAGTAGAGGACACATCAGTAAGAAATGGTTCAACAGCAGCCTTGAAAAACCACCAGGTAAACATCATAGTATTCAAACTCCTCATCTCTTAACCTTCCCTACCCTTTCCACTATTAATTTGCAGTCAAATATATTTGAATATGAATCAAAGGTGAAATGGGTTCATAAATTCGGCAAGACTTTTTTCATACATTGCTTTGTGAACTTACTTTTTTAAAGATCGTCAGAGGAGTGCGATTAAGAAAATATAAATAAAAATTTGTTTTTTTATTTACCAAATAGTTTTGACATAAACATCCTAATGAGAAAATAAAAATAAAATTTTATTGGTGAATGTAAAGAGTGCAGTAATGAAGTGGTAAATGCTGTAAATGTATATAATTATGAAGAAATATACATTTCTTATTTTTGGAGATATAAAGGCAATAGTGGCTTAAATAAAAATAAAGAAAAATCTTTTCTGAAATTTCTGCCAAAAAAAAAAAAAAATTATTTTATTTGAAATCATTATTGGCGAAGGTGGGTTTGCTAACTAAGGTATAAAAAAAGTCTTGTCCTATAGACACCAAAAACATGTTTTACCACTGTTTTTTTGTATTCTCTGTGTCTGAGAAATACTAGGATACAATGCCATTGTGTCTGAAGCTTTTAAAAAATTTCCATAAATCTAAAGCCGGACATTCAGCGAACGACAGTCGTCGGCGCATCACACGCACAACAGATCGTATTTAATGATGATTCGTTCAGACGGTGCCAAGTCGTCTGTCGCTCACAGAGAGCAGAGTTGGGTTCGTCTTTTGACGGCCGTACGACTGTCATACGATGCAGTGAGTGACCAGCTTAATACGATCAATGCTAAAGATTAATCCATATTTCAGTATCTATATCTGGCACTGGTATGGTCATTTATGATGCGCCTCTTCCTTGAGGTTATAAAGCGCAGTTCTTTTTTCTGGTCAGTGGGTCCACATGCTTTAATTGTTGCTGCTGGTAATCAGCGCAGGAGCTGGCAACACCACCAGGTACCCATTTATACTCCTGGCTGGAGAGAAGCAATGCAGATAAAGTGCCTTGCTCTACGACACAAGCGAAATGCACAGCGAGGGATTGAAACCCCGACCTCGCGGTTTCCGCTATGCCAAACTGCCTCCACAGCTTAGTAAAGCCCTGCACACACTATCAAATTTTATGTGATAAACAAATGCGCTATGCCCATATTTGGGTGTAATATGACATCATCATGCCACAAAACAAAATTGTCACATTAAATGTTTGGGACAGAAATTTAATCTGTTATTGTAGTTTTAAAAACATCATGTCACTGCTGATGTTCAAAATTTTTCTTTAAAAAAAACCAAGTTTGTTTACCACTGTATATAGAAATTGAGTTTTTAATATTTTACTCAGTCACTTTATGAAATTTAATAAATAGAGCAGCAATGTCCATAACGTCATTTCCATCTTGTACAAGTTCATTAGATGTTTGATTTTAATATGCATTTTTACTTATATTCCAACTGGTACAGATAATTTTCCTGCAACACCCCATTACAATAGTAGTATTCTACGTGATATTGGGTTACAGCAGCACCTTCGCATTCTCTTCGAAGCTGCATTAGATTTCCGTGGTATGACAGACGCAATAATCCTTCTGAAAATCTGGCTTCATCAGAGGCAACTTGATAAGGTATGCTGGGATTTGTTGGTGCAAAGCAATATGGCTATATTAGGATTGATAGCGAAATGTTATATTCTACATGTACTGTACGTGTGGCAAACCATGGAAACATTTGTCTGGTCGAATTTTCTACACGAAGCTGAGTAGGCATAGTTTCGTACACGAACGCTAATTGGTTGGCTCGCCCAGTGCAGCGCAGATGGGTTTAGTTTGTCTCAACAGGCCCAGACAACACGACAGCTCTGTTGTTTAAAATAGGCATGAAGGGGAATTCCCAAGTTATACCTTTGTCGTATAGGTAATCTTACAATATTTTAATGTTCTTTAGTTAAATAAAAGATATAAAATGATGAATTAATACACTAGACACACGGTTTTATTTGAACACTTTATTATGACATTGTAAAGTGATGAATAAAAACACTAAACACATGGTTTTATTCTTAGGCCTAGAGGCTTGGTCTAGCCTAGCTAGGTAACATCGTTTGTTCATACATACGTATATTGAGCGTTACGTCCATATTAGGTCAAAGGTTACCACAAATTTAACCCAACCTCTATTTTACGAATCCCCCGATTTACGTACGCCCTCCGGTCCCGTACCGTATGTAAAATCGAGGTTCTGCTGTACAAGATTTTTTTTCACAAGTATTTGGGAATGTACTGAGCATTCAGTATACATAACATGTCACGTTGGCCAAACGTAATTTTGTATTCTAGTTGTTATACAAATACAACATGGTTTGAGGTTGTATTCATTCATGATGATGACATAATTAATGTTGAAATATTGAATCCCGACACGATGGCGTGCATTTCGATACTTGGAGTATGTATTATACTATCTTATCGGAGATTAATCAGTTGACCTTTCGGTTTGAGTTGAAGTAGTGAATTTTACTGCCCAAGATGTTGGATGATTGGGACTCTACCTCTCGATGCGAAATAAATCCTTGGCTTAAATTTGTTTTACTATACCTCATAAACAGCAAACCATCTGTGTACATTAGTCATTTTGATCTGCGAGGGTAAACTTACGCATTTTGCAAACTTTGACACATGCAGGGAAGTAGTAGAAACTCTTGCACCCCTTAACAGGTGAAATTGACCAATGAAATGTTGTTATTACCTAATTAATATTTATGAAGTATATTAATGTGTGTTGCATATCATAACCATTTCAATGTGCTTGAATGCAACAAAATAATAATAATGATAACAATATTTAATATGAAAATTTACAAAAAAAGGAGAAATTTTTAATCTGGCCTAATAAATATTTTTAAACTTAACCTTCTTAGGCTGTTGACTCCTAAGAGTTTGTCCATGTTTTTTTTCAACCTTATTTTTGTTTTGCTGAGTTAGCATTCATTCCCATCAAGTGGATGCTAGTTAACAATCTGGGTTGTTGCTAGTCATTACTGTGAGCCCACGAATAAATGTTCAAATTATTGAAAATAGTATACAAACATACTGTCCTCTGTTATAATCTTTCATGTGTGTTTCTCATTTTTCCAGGGCTATGGAAGTTTTAACGGTTTTATAATGTCCATGTTGGTTGTTCATCTTCTCAATATTAAGAGATTGAACAAGATTATGAGTGCGAACCAAGTGTTTAAGAATGTCCTTTCTTACCTAGGTAAGCTCACACCTGAGAAAGTACATCTTACCATGGTGTTGCATGCTAACTTACTTATCTTGCCTGTTTATTTTTGCACTTATATAACCAGATGCATAGTAATAAACATATTTTCTTTTTTTTTTTACCTTGATCTATACAATATTGTAATAAACATATTTTCTTTTTTTTTATCTTGATCTATACAATATTGTAGAGATAATATCTTGCATCTTGCCATGTTAATGACTGATAGCCGGTTTGACCAAAAACATGCTTTCTCATCTTTTCTGTGTATGGTTACACATATGTAGGTAACATATCTTGCAGCCATGATAATGTGTTAACCATGTAAATACAAACATAGTTTCTTGTCTTAAAGCCCATCACACACTATGACACCAGTTGTCAGCCAAAACAATTTTATTGGAGATTGCAACAAGACGCATGCAATACAGTATATTGTTTGTAATGAAAATCCGCACCGTCAGCCTTTACGTTGTGAAACACTCAGAGATAACTTCCTCAGCCAGTGATCGTGCAACATATTGTCAATGGTGTACCTAGTGGTGTGTACACCCTTTGCTCCCCAAACCTCCCAACCCCACCCTCTCTTACCCCTGAAAAAAAAAATTAAACAAAATTATTCTCAAGTATTTAAAAATCAGCTTTTATCACCTTATTTTGTGAGCTGGCACCCCTCATTTAATCATCGGCCCCCTTCACCTCCTGTCTCTTATACACATCTAGATGTGTATAAGAGACAGGCACACACTAGATGTGTATAAGAGACCTGCTGCACATTGTGTGCCCTGCTGAATTGAAGTCTTACCATATAATGGATGTAACATTAGACCATGCTCTGTTATCTTACATTCTTCCTAGTATGTGCATACAATTATGATTTCCTTTTTCTTTTAAAAATTTGTAGCGACAACTAATTGGACAGAGAGTGGTATAAGTATCAATAAAGTGTTTCAAGAAGGCCTGCCATCACTAGCTAATTTTCATGCTCATTTTGATGTTGTATTTATTGACTCCACTGGATATCTGAACTTATGTGCCGATGTTAACAAACACGTGTATGAGGAGGTATGTTGTTGAGAATAGTTTCTAATCCAAGGATTCCCCTTACAGCTTGGCCGACCCCGACCCGTGGCAAACAACGTAATTTCTTTTATATTCTTGTTAAGTTACAGTACTTCGTTTTTGACTTTTAACAGCCGAGCTATGATTCTTTAGATACAATAATAAAAAAAAAATTACTATAATGATCTTTATAAATAATACTTCAAAGTGAATGTTTCAGCCTTGATATTTTTATTTTTTTTGCAGCGAAAATGAGGATATTAGTGACCTAGAGACTTGTGCTATTAAATTGCTATAAATGCAGTCTATATATATATATACATTCTTTATGCCTAACCAGGTCTAGTTGTAGGCTTTATAATTTTGTATAAAATATAGACCAATGATATTCCACAGTCAAATCTGCTGACAATACCATTTTAGCCAATCAGCTGTGAGGATAGTGTATTTGGTCAATTTGTCTATAATCTACCTTCTTATATGCAAATACTGTATTACCATAAACTAATTCTTAAAGACGTATTGTCCCTTAATAATGACAAAGCTTCATAAAAAAATATGTTTGAAATTAACTTGCTCATTTTTGCATTATTATAAATTATTAACTTAAACATAGAGATTATTGAATTTTATAAATGTACCTGGATTTTTAAACTGGATAATTATAATAAAATAATAAAACACTTAAGTTAAAGTACTAAATGGCATTTAATAAAACAGACAACCGTCTTTAATCAAATTACTGATCGCGGGCTCAATAGTGAGCCCGATCGTGTAGTAGCAAACATGTTTTGGAAATGTTGTTCCCATCATCAGTGCGAAAATAACAATTTTGCCAAGATTTATATGTATTAGAACACGTATGAAAATTGAAATAAAACAATTTGGCTGATGAAGCGCAAACACCACGTGTCACTGCATGATTGTTATTGTAATTAGGACCACAACAATCAGACAGCGAACGTGATGTTTAGATTGAACGGTGAAACATCCCTCATTAACTAGGTCCTGACAACGTTCCGAAACCTGTAAATGTTAAAAAATATGAGAGGCCCAGTCCCTGAAATGTTTGCGCACTCGTGTTGAGAGTCTTCAGTTGGTTTCTTCAATATAAGTGGAATTACATCCCTCACAAGCACGGAACACCGTTCTAGACTCTGACTGCAGATTCAGCTTATAAACTTAAAGTTAAAGAAGCTCTGCACATCACTTAGAACAATCCATCTCTAAACAAGCAATTTTTCAATCTAAACATCACGCTCGCTACACGATCAGACTCATTATTGAGCCTGCGATCAGTAATTCGATTAAAAATGGTTGTTTGTTTTATTAAATGCCTCGTAGTGTTTTTATTTATTCAAAATTTTGGTGGCATTATTCATGACCTATCTAATAAAACACTTATTGTGATTGGAAGTGTTTCATTTTTCGCTGCTAAATGTTAGGTAGACATTTTTGAAATACATGAATTCCTGTGTTCAATTTGATAATTTTTATTTTGCTTCAAAATGGGCAAGTTAATTTCAAAAATGTTTTTTTATGATTTTTTGTTGGTATGTTGTCTGTGAGAATACATCTTTAAATTATTTAATGACATTACCAAATCATGTTTTATTATGAAAATAAAGATGTAGATTTTACTCAAGTGTACCCAAATAAAATTTATGGGCAGCAATGCTTAGGCATTTTATTGATCATTGTCAAGCAATTCTACTAAATCAATAAATGGAAACAACTTCTACTCACTATTAATTCCAATTAATGACTGTTTTGTCTTGATTGTAAGTCAAAGCAAGTGTTTCCTCATAATTAAATCATAAATCACTTTTTTTAAATATATTTCCTCATAATTAAATCATAAATCACTTTTTTATATATAAGTACATGAAGGAAGTCCTGTACAATCAACAAAACGTTTTTCTATTTGTTTTTATATTTTACTCAAGGTACGAAAGGAAGCAGAGCTTGCAGTAAGGATTCTTGATGACAAAATTTGTGACAGTTTCCAGTGTCTCTTCATGACCCCTCTTCCATTTACTGCAAGATTTGACCATCTGTTTCAGTAAGTTAACCAATCATTTAATTACCGTATCTATTCAAATAAATGCCCCAGGTATTTATTGTTGTGAAGGGTTTTTAAAGGAGGTGTTTATACAAGAGATGCATGTATTTCTTTTGGAGTAAAATGGATACATATATGCTCAAATATACACCCCCTAATTTCATTGTAAATGTAGGATTTCCCAACACATAATTACTGTCAAAATGTGTTATTGCATGATCATAAAAACTTACTGATTTAATAACTAGGACAGAAGAAATGTGATTCTGCTGGAGTAGAACATTTATAGAATGTGTTGAGAATGATGTTGCTGCCATAAGTATGTTTACAGTCATTTAGAGGAGTGCGTTTATTTGAGGAAAATAATAAACGATTATTCTTTTCTATAAATAAACGTCTCAGTGTGTTTATTCCAAATAGGGCTCTGGAAGGGAAGTTTATTCGAGGGGATGTTTTTTCGAATAAATACTGCTTTCCAGTTCATAATGGTAAACTTGACTAATACGATCCACAAAAGACTTACACAAGTGTTCTCCTGTAATACTGACATTTTTCTCCACTCTAGTATTAGTAATCTGTCGCAACTCAAGAACGTGTGTGAAATGCATTTGTTTGGAGATCAATGTATGGATCTCGGAGGAAATTACGTGCAGACGAGTCTCCCTAAGCTGCTTGAAATCCTGCAGGATGGGCTTGATAAACGAGTTCACTTCATTGGACTGAAAGCAAGAGAAACGAAAGAGGTCTGTATCAATTATAAAATGGCTTTTCATCAACATTTATAGGTTGCCAGCAAGGGAACATTTACTTCTAAGGCTTCAAGGCTGGTTCACACACAGCAATTTAGGCACAATGATGCCAAGTACTACTTTTCAAATGCATTATCAATTCTTGTTCCTTTTTTTAGTGGTCAATTTCATCACCTCCACCGGCCTTTTCTGATGGGCATCTGACATTTGGTTTGCACCTCAACCCACAATTTTCTTCAAATGTTTTGGATAAAGGCCCTGAATCAAACACACAAATGGTAAGCAATACATGATATAGAAATTGTAACTGTCTTACCAATGGTCATTCAATTACAAAAATTAATTGTAAGGGGAGCCTGTGCATTTTAAAATATAATTTAACATAATTGTTGTCTTTGTTTTATTATTGTACAAAATTCATAGGCTACAATTTTCCGTAAATTTTGGGGTGATAAAGCTGAAATGAGACGATTTCAAGATGGCTCCATTTGTGAGGCTGTGCTGTGGCCTGGCAAGAGTCTAGCTGAGAAGAGGCTAGTTGTCAATCACGTAATTAAGTACATACTTCAACAGTGAGTGTTTTTTCAGCCCTTTGTTACAATGTATTTTTAATATGGTAGTCCTAATATAATAGCTATTATTAATAAGAAGAGAATGATTATATTTATGAGCATTAGTGATAGTAAAAAAATAAGTTGTATTTTAGATTTGCAAGTCTGGATCCAGAGTCCATTTCTTATGTCGGGGGTCAACTAGATTGCGTTTTGAAGCCGCCGAGACTTGATAGCAGTTCTAAAAGCAAAGTTTTGCCAAGGGGTACAGGGGAGGAACAGAGCTACTCAATTACACATGTTTATGATGCCTTAAGTAAGCAGTTGAGGGCACTGAAGGACCTGCCACTTGCTATAACATCAGTGCAAGGTGTCTCGCCAGTATTTAGGCACACCGAGGTAAATAAAGATTTATTCTAAAGCGCTGTCCAGACTATCAAATCTTATTTGGGAAAAACATGTGATATGCCCAAAGACTTAAACTATACTTAAACATCAAAATATACTTAAACCAAGCCAGTACTTTAAAAAAAAAATACATTTAAAATATATACTTAATTAATATTATAATGTCAATCTACACACGTTTAACTATTGATTTTTACTGATGAATGGAATCAGGGATAAACTATTGCCTGAAGCGACATCTTGATGAGCGTGGGACACATGATACCAGAACAATTACGCTTGAATTTGCAGTGCAGTGGGTGTGACTCACCGTTCATGATCTTGTGATATTTTAAAAGAACAGATTTATCATATCTCAGAATAATTAGGATAAATGCTGTTTTGATGTGTAATAGTAAATTCTTATAGCTATTTGTCTTTATAACACACCTGAATAAATCCCAGTCATTTGATTGGTTGATTCTTACCACATATTATTATTTTGCCTATTTCATTGCTCATCCTTGAAATTTTGTTCTACCATGCATTTTTTTTAAAAACAAGTTAATAGGATACAATACATATTAAGTGAAATAACTGAAGCGTTTTTATTATCTTTAGGTTTTTCCCGCAAGACCATCTTCTCTTACCATCCGAATTCGTAAGATTCATAAGTTTGTGCAGGTACCGTCGCCAGTTGACCCATGTCCTGATTGGATCCCAGCTCTGAGAGGTTTGTGATTCTTTTCCTTTAATTTCTATTAATAATGGTAATATATATACTGCCCCCCCCCCCCCCCGGCAAAAGGGCATAAATGACATTTTTGGCGAAAATGAGTTATATAGCCTAGTAGCTGTCTCTTATACACATCTAGATGTGTATAAGAGACAGATGTAGGATTTCCCAAAAGTGATTTTTAATGTAAGTCATTTTAAAAATTAAAATAAATTTAGAAAACTAAAAAAAATTAAACTTTAAGCACAGTGATTACTAAAATCT